TGATCGCTACACTAAGGACCTGTAGCTTGTTTGATTCTTGTGAGGTTTGTGCTTTCTTGAGAAGTGTTTTAAGTTGAAGAGCTCATCTATATTTGATATATTCTAGGCCATATTTGTAGTGTCTTTCGTTGGTCATTAATATTTTCTTACTAGCCAGCTTATTGTGTGCTGCCTTGGATATTTGTTTCTTGAAGACTCTCCATAATGTGTTTATATAAGTTTCTCTTTCACTTTCTTCTGACTCTTTTTTTAACAAAGGCTTTAGCATTATTCGAAACTTGTGGTTTACGCTTTTTCTGAATGCTTGGCATTGTTCTAATATTGATCCTTTAATATCAATTTTTCTTTCATTTTTTATTGTGGATCGGTTGATACCATCTTTTGAGAAAAGATTGTTATCATGTAATGTTATCATGAGCATTATATGGTCACTGCCTATTATTTCCTCCATATTTTGATTGTTAAAACCTAGTAATAGGAATTTTGTGAGGCTTTGTAATATCTATATAAAATCTATTTGGCTACTGCTAGTAGCATCCCATCTTGTTGGAGTTTTGTTCTTTCCTTCCCATGTTGTCTGTATGTCTATGAAATTCTATTCATCTAGAAAGTCAAATAGTTGGATTTCTGGACGTCAAGATGGTTTGAATGTTGCTCTGGAGGTAGATGCTCTATCTTCTGCAAGGTTGTATGCAGCATTGAAGTCTCCCATGATTATTATGTGGAAATTCTGTCTATGCTTTTCTTTGATGAAGTTTTGTATATTCTCTTGTACCTTATTACTTCGTTTTTTGTCAGAGGGGATGTAGATTTGAATAATGCATATCTTATTTCTTCTTATAAGCATATTGACAGCTATTATATGTCCTTCTGCCTCTTTTATCGATGCAATTTTCTTTTCCAGATCCGTTCTTACCAATAAGCTAACTCCTGCACTATAGGGGTGTTTTTGTTGGTACTGTGGAAATGTTTGTACATCCCTTGGTTTTAAAAGGCCCATTTTGCCTTTGCTTTGGTTAACTTTGTTTCACATAGACCTATAATTCTAATACCTTGCTCTAGTATTTATTTTATAAGGTTCTATTGATTTGTTTTATCGGTGATATCTCTGATATTGTGTGTTCTGATTCTTATTACTTTTTTTTCTATATCTATGTCCATTTGTTTTTGTTTTTCTAGTAGTATTTTTTTATTTAGAAATACAGTTTTTTCTATTTGAAGGAAAGTCTCAAGGTCTTAATCATACTGTTGGTTCTGCATACTAATTTGCTCCTCCTGTCGTGCTTTGCCCTTGTTAGTTGTTTGGATGTTGGGAATAGTGGACGGGTATTCCCCATCTTTCTGTGATTAGACTGGCACTCCTTTTAGGAGCGGTTGGCCCTCCGTCTAAGTGGACCTTTTTCCAGTTTGTCGATCCTTTTGCCAAGTTTTTCAATTAATTTACATAATTGAGATACTTCAGATTCTTGGCTTACATTTGATTGGAAGCTTCAGATTTTGTGTTTTGTTGTTTTTCTCTCTTGTTGGCTAGAGTTGGTGTCACTGTTTTCTTCTTTATCTTGGTTTTGCATCTCTCTATATGAAAAATAACTTCTTCTTCATCTTAAAGGTTCCCTATTGCTACCAGTGGCTGGTGGATCTGTTCTTGTCATAAGTCTGTTAGTTCTTATATGGTGATTTTTACTTTTTCTAGTACTTATTGATGTTATACTCTGGTATTCCATTTCCGTATGATTATTTGTTTCCTTTTTATAAGTCACATATCTCAGCTTTTCTCGATTTCAGTAGAATCATCTAGTATATTTGATTCAGAAGAGTTGTTTGAGTCTATAGATATCCTATGTTGCTACTGATAATGATTTTTTGCACTCTATACAAGCCTTTGATTCTCAATACTGATTTGTTACTGAAGAGCCTCTTTTAAGTCTTTCTCATTTATGAAGTATATTACTGCATAATCTTCTGGTATTAGAGTAACCTTATTCCTTGGTATGTAAGAGACTTTCGCTTTTGTATGACTGAGTGATTCAGAGATAAGTTCTATAGATTTTCCCTTCACCCCATACAATCTTAAGAAGTGATGCTTTCTTTCTTTAAGTATTTGGATTATTTCTTGATCATTTAGTTCTTTTTGGGCTATTACTGACCTTACTTGATTGACTTTAATCTTGAGTACCCAATGTTGTTCCAATTTGGCATGCTTACAATGTGCGAAGAGGTGGATTCTAAATCTTTTTTGGTGAAAAGCCATACGATATTCGTGAATATTGACTATTTCTCCATATTCTTCCATCGCCTTCCTGATTGATTGTTTATTATATTTATATTCTGTATTCACCAATGTAATATACTTTGATCTATTTTTTGCTGAAAAAAAGCTTTCTGGCTTGAAGAATCCTTTATTCAGAGCATATTTCTGAAAGGCTGGACTGTGTTTCTGTCTTGATCCATTCTCTTGATGGAAAAGTTTTCTTCTTCTTTTTTATTAATTGATTCTATATATCGTACTGCATTCTCTTCTTCATTAATACCAAAGTAATTCAGTGATTACCATTGATGAACTACGTCTTAAAAGAATTTTGTCTCTTGGGGATACCTAGAGTTCCTTTGAGGTATTTGATTCCTTCTTCTTTATTTTCTCCTGGTAATGTAACTTGAAGCACTCCCAATTTAATTGTACCTGTTTGTTTGATAAAATAGGAATTGATTGTGAAATCTCGTATTCTATTACATGTATTGTAAGAAATATTTTCTGTAATATAAGTTCCTTGAACTGTTTCCTTAATTGCAGTTGTTTCTATTGGTTCTGATGTATTCTGGTCTTCCATTTCAACTTCTTCAATTGATAGGATTTTCTTCATTTCTATATAAGTTGGTTGAATATCTATTGGGATATTATTTGTTTCCTGTATTCTTTCATCTCATAACTTACGGTATGGTTTTCTACCTTGATTGTTAAGATGCTATACACCTTATTTTCAAGTATAAAAGCTTCGAGGTCTTGTTTCTTGCCTTGACCTTTTTCCCACAAATTAAGGATATATTTTCTTAACATTTGCTCTTTTGCCAAGATTTCAGGGTCTATATTTAATAGAGTGGCTAAGATGTTGTCTAGTATTGAAGTTACGTGGATTGCTCCTATTGGGATTTGTGGTTGGTCTCCTAGTGTATATTCTAGCTTATATTATAGTATTTTTGTTTCCCATAGCTCTTGTTGAGGATTATATCTGGTAGCGACGTTTCCAAGTATTCTAAGGATTTCTTATTCACATCATTCCAAAATTCTAATAATATTTTGCTCTTTTTGTGTCATATTGTTATGTGAGATGGAAAAACTATTACATGTATCAGGTTGTTTTGATGTTTTGTTGGTTTTCTTCATACTGATCTGTAAATACAATACTATTTTGGGTTATGTAATTGGATAATCAATATCAGTATACTGTCTCTTCATGTGTTTCAATTGTAATGCTGATCCTGTTTATCTACACATAGATTACTTATTTATTACTCTTGATATGGTCTGATTGACATGTTTTACTTCTTTATGATGTGTTGTCGTGTCTTGAGTTGATGTTTTGTCACGGCTAAATTATATTCACTTTTACATGTTCGTGTTTGCATGACGTGAGTTTGATAGATCAGTTATTGTGACTGTTTACTACTGATCTTTACTGTTTGACCCAAGAGATCTGGACGTCCTTCTAGGTTTTAATATTTTTATTTTTTTATTTTTTATAATACACTTATATATATATATATATATATATATATATATATATATATATTAATTTATTATTTTGGGAATTTTTTATATTTTAATGGCTTAATAAAATAATTGATAGACAACTTTTTGACAATAATATATAATCTAGAAGAAAATTTATCCAAAAGTTATTATAGAGTAATAAATTGTTTTTAAGATTAAATTAAAAGATTTTTATATTTATGATAAATTAGTTAAATTTGCATATGTAATTTAATTCTAATAAATATTATATTATTTGAACGAATATGTATTTTTGTATTCTTGTAATTAATAAATATTTGGTCTAATTTAATTGCAAGTTATTTACAAAAAAAAATTTTTTTTAATTGAATATTATATTAAATTATAATCAATAATTTAAATAATTAAAAAATAAAATTAAAAGAAGAATAAAATATTATTTTAAGTTATATTAAAAAAACATATTTCAATAATAAATAAATTAAAATATGAAAAGTTTAAAGATATTGTAATTACAGTATATATAGTTGCTTTCAAAAGTTTGAGTTCACTTACTATATTATTATTATGAATTTTAATTTAATTTTTAAATCGTTAATTATATAACAAAAATTATAAAAATTATATACAGTATATTATATCTTAACACTAGTTTTATTCATTATATTTTTTTCAAAAAATTTATATATATAATTTTTAAAGTTTTATTATTATTAAAAAATTTCTTTCTTTATCAAATTTTTATTTTTGAAGAATTTTAACTGGCTATTATCATAAATTATATGATAATTAATATAAAAATAAAGATATTTAACAATACTAAAACTTTAAAATCTATTAATAATTTTTGATTGTATAATTAACTATTTAAAAATTGTTAAAGTTAAAATTTATAATAAAAACATAATAAGTGAACTCAAACTATTGGAAGCAACCATAAATATTTGCACTAAAACATATTGTATTAGTTATATTACAAGATAAAAGTAAAATTATATATAAAAATATATAAAAAATAAATATGGATTTATTTAATTTTTTATATATTTACATTTAAATAACCACAGTATACTGGTAATTGAATATAATGAATATTTAAAAAATTTTTTTAATTTGTTTATAGACAATATTCGAAGCATTATTGTTTATCGTTCAAAAGCGTTGAATTATTATTGTTCGCATTAAATGCATTGAAATTATAACGTTATTATTAAGTCATCGCAAACAAATGTTCGAAAATAAAAGGCGTAACCAAGCTTATATTAGGACTTTACTGAGTGGAAGATATTTCCGCTATCAATTTCTTTCTTAAAGCTTGGAAATCTAGCTCTTTGCAATTTCCTTCTTCTTTGTAAAAATTAAGTTCCTTCATTCTCTGTTCAACTAATTTTTCCAGTTCATGGATGCCAGTAATATCGCTTTCACGCACGTTCTCTTCACCACTTACAGGTTCACTGATATCTCGTCTTTCCTCGTTGTCGATTTCATTCCCATCACCTTGTCCTTTCAGCCAACCCAACACCCTCTCATGACATCGAAAATCCTGTATAATTTCATTTTTGCAGTTATTAAATTCATCCTCGTTAGTTTTAGTAATGGTGAATTCTACTGGCAGAACGTCAGTGTTCGGAAGTTGAAATGGTTCTGCCAGTCGGATTATAATGACCGAATTGATCGTAATTTGTGTTAGAATTCCGGGTAATTCGTTCACCATCGCATATTTCTGGTAAATTATTGAGAATAATTTAAACGTTTAACAGATACAAAATGCGAACTAACGTTAAACTTACGAATTTTCCAAAGTACTCCAAGGCTCTATGATACCTTGAAAAATAATATGCTGGAATTTCAGTGAGATTAATGTAATTGTTGTTTTCCTGAAAGAGAGAGATCAACTTCAATTTTGTTTCAGGTGACCTAATGTCATCAATTAGTCCGGCCTTCTTTGCTTGAGGAATGGTAAGAGGCGATGTAAATTTACCACCGCTTTTATCTTCTGGCGGAATTATTTTACAATTATTACTCGTCTCAATGTTGTTTTCTCTGTAATAAGTATTCGGCTCGTTTAATTTCGCAAATTTGTTAATTGCATTATATGTTTTAAATTTTTGGAAAGTATTGTTTCCATTAAATTTAGCGCTCAATGCACTTCTTGCACAAGAGGAAAGATTAAGTGACCTTCTAACAGGTGTTCTGGATCTTTCGGATCTAAACTTACGAGACGAGTACTTGCTTGAGGCCGACGAGAGTGAATCAAGAGACTTTGGCATATCAACAGTCAAAATAATACATTGAAGTCAAGTCTTTGCAAAAAAAAAAGAAAAGAAAAGAAAAGAAAATTAGAGAGATTATTATAAGTTTAATGAGTCACTATATTAAAATCCAACCTACATCAGCACTTGCACGTCATTTTTGTTGGGAGTCAAATGTCTAGGCGTTTGCCGATAGCCGAGAACTTCGTAAAAATTAACGGAGTTTATCGAGATAGTAAAAAATAGAATTCTCATATCTAATTATATGATGAGAAACGACACTATTGTTCGCATTTTTAAATTCTTTGTAATGTGTTTTTTTTTTTTTTATTTGGTTTGTAGATCTGTTTTTGAGGATATGTCATTATCTTCGCGTTTATTATATGAAATATAGAATAGAAAAAAAAACAGAACGTATAAATACTGATGTTTGACATTTTTACATTCTTTAAGTTTCACTAAAAAGTTACCTTGTCCATTACATAGAACGGGGACGAGTGCAAGACATGCAGGTCAAAATAGTGTTTTACAAATTATAAATTTCATTGAACATTTACTATAAGTTTTTATCAGATTCTTTTAATATTACTATTCATTAAGACATTTTTGTGAGCAACTTTTTGAAACGAATTAAATAAACTCCTTTTTTGCAATCATTTGTTATATTGAAAATTCTTGAATATTCATATTAAGGTAATAACTATAATTTTATAAAATATAATGAATTATTGATAAGTTATTAAAAATATTTTCTTATAAAAAATGCAGTATTATAATTTTTTAAATAATTATATATAACTTTAAATTAATAAAATTTTATTTATTATTTTTTTTTTAAACTAAAGTTTTTAAAAAAACTTTTTTATAGATTATTTTTATCCCTTATAAAAGTTTCTTTGATAATTTTCTTAAAAAAATCAACTTTACAAGAATTTTATATTTTTATTACCAACAAAATTTTATAAGACACAATTATAAATATTTTATACAAAATCAATTAAGTTTTTTTGAATAAATTTTTTCAAAAGTTTTTTAATATATTTTAATTTTAGAAAAAAATTAAATATGAATATCAATAAAAACTCTTTCTGCTGATCCTCTGATCACATACAAAAAAGATGTTTGCAAGAAGTTTTATACTTCTTTGCTAATAAAGTCTTTATACTTTCATTAAAACAACTTGA